CCTGTTTTATAATAAAAACATTTATTTTAAAAAATGAGTAAAAAATATGAATAGACACTTCTTTAAAGAAGATATACAAATGGCCAATAAGCACAAGAAATGCTGTTCTACACAATTAGTCATTAGGGAAATGTAAAATCAAAATCATGATGAGCTACAACTTCACATCCACTAGGTTGATTATAATCAAAAAGAGGAACACTAACAAGTGTTGCAGAGACAGTGGAGAAATTGGAATCCTCATGTATTGCTGGTACAACTGCTATAAAATGGTTAGCCACTTTGGAAAACAGTTTAACAGCACCTCAAAAATTAATATAGAGTTATATGATTCAACAATTTGAATCTAGGTATATACCCTAAAGAGTTGAAAACGTAAATCCACACAAAAATTTGCACAACAATGTTCACAGCAGCATTAAAACTAAAAGCCAAAGTGCAAACAATCCAAATGTCCATTAACTGATATATGGATAAACTGTGGTATAACCATACAATGGAATGTTATTCAACCATGAAAACAAATAAAGTACTGCTGTATATGTATGACATGGATGAACCTTGAAAACATGCTAAGCAAATAAAGCCAGACACAGAAAGGCCACATATTGTATGACTCCTCTCATAAAATGTCTGTAGCAAATCTATAGAGACAGAAATAAACTAGAGGTTTCCACAGGCTGGGAGGAGAAAACAATGAGGAGTGTAGGAGGCTGAATAATGACTCACCAAAATATCAGATCCTAATCCCTGAAACATATATGTTACCTAATTTGGGAAAAGAGTCTTTACAGATGTGATTAAGAATCTTGAGATGGGGAGATTATCCTGGATTATACAAATGGGCCCAAAAAACATCACAAGTATCCTTATAAGAGAAGCAGAAGGAGATTTCATACATACAACAGGAGAAAGCATTGTAAAAAGACTGGAGCGACATGGCCACAAGCCAAAGACTTCCAGCTGGAGGGAAGCACTGGATTCTCCCCTAGAGGGTTGAGGGTAGTGTGGCCCTGCCAACACCTTGATTTAGGCCTCCAGAACTGAGAGGGAATAAGTTTTTGTTGTTTTAATCCACCAAGCTTGTGGTAGTTTGTTATAGTAGTCACAGGAAACTAATACAGAGTTTTAGGGTTGATAAAATGTTCTGGAATTAGATAGTGGTAAACACTGCACGATTTTGTGAGTTTACCAAAAAGCACTCAATTTTGCACTCTACAGGGTGAATTGTATAGTACGTGAATTATATTTCAATTAAAGAAAAAAACTTCCTAGGAGCGCCAGGGTGGCTCAGTCAGTTAAGCGCCCAACTTCAGCTCAGGTCATGATCTCATGGTTCATGAGTTCGAGCCCTACATCAGGCTCTGTGCTGACAGCTAGCTCAGAGCCTGGAGCCTGTTTCAGATTCTATATCTCCCTCTCTCTCTGACCCTCCCCTGTTCATGCGGTCTCTCTTTCTCTCTCTCTCAGAAATAAATAAAACATAAAAAAAAAAAGAAAGAAAAAAAAATACTGCCTAGCAATAGGCTGCTGTGACCCCCACATCCTAACAAGTGACACTGAATTTTCAAAGCCCCTAACCACACTCCATTCATGTAATAAGAGTTAGTTAATTAGGATTATGGTAACAATGCAAAGTAATCTAGCCAAGAAAGAGTTAAACTAGTGGCCAAAGTACAAATTTGTAGTAGGAGACATACCTTCCCAAGGATGAATGGATATCTCCTTGTACAGTGGACATTACTCTGATACTAAGGGCTTGGAACACTAACTTAATTATTATTAGGGCTGCTAAATATCCTGATTTGACCAGGGCAATCCAGTTTGACCTGCTGTCCCTATGTATTTTTTAATAGTGCCACTTTTCATTGTTAAAAATATGCTGATTTGGGTGATAAATCAGTCAACCTAATTATAAGGAATCTGGAAGTTGTGAAAGTAGAGAGCATATTCTATGCAGGCCAGACGAGCCCTGTCATGAATCTCTGTATAACATATATCTCCCTACTACTGGGAAGCTCCCAAGGAAAACAATGCTGGTAAGACTTCCACAGAGCATCCATATTTTGTTTTCAAATGTATACAATATTAATGCTTAAGCTGAACTCTCAGAACTCTACTATTCAGTGTTACTCAAATGACTGATTTATACATTTAAAGGAAAAAATAAGGAATGAACCTAGGAATACTTGTCGTTGACAAGTATAAGGAACTTCCAAAGGATAAGGTTAAGATAGCTTGTATTCAAATTTTTTAAGTTATGAACGAAAAGATGAAGAAGGCTGCTATTATTTTTTTCATATCAAATTGACCTTAACATAATATTGCTGTGTTAGAACTCCTAGGTCCAAAGAAAGAAAGAGGGAGGATTCTTCTTTTTTCTTTCTTTCTTTCTTTTTTTCTGAGAAATTAGGGAAAAATTATTATTCTATAGAAAGATCATTAGAGGTTCTATGTGTGATCATAAATGTAAGGTTGTCAATGTTCCGATGTTCACAATTTTGGATGAACTAAAACTATAAAATATACCAAATCAGTAGAATTAGAACATAGCCCTGTTCACAAAAGACTGAGAAGCAAAGAAACGACACAGGAAGAATGGTAACTCCACAGTTCTGACAGCCTCCTAACCACAGAGAAAGGGGGAGGGAGAATGATCAAGATAGTGTTTGTGAGGAATTTGAGTACTAGTGAGTGTTTGGTGAGCCTACCATGGGCCAGGTACTGGCCTCAGTACTGGAGATACATTAGTGATTGAAACAAAGATCCGTTCTTCAGGGAACTGACACAGACTTTAAAAATATATGCATATAATGTTATCATATGTACTATTATAATATCACATGCTACATTTTTGATATGTAAATAATGTAACAAAAACATATAAAATGTTTTTAGACATGTGTATACATTTATATACAATTTCAAATGGCTATAAATGCTATAGAGAAAATAAAGCAGGAAATAGGCCAGGTAGTTTGGAGGCAGGCTGATATTTGTATGGCATGGTTATGGAGATCTGCAGAAGAATTTTCCAGCAGAAGGAAGAGCAAATGCAAAGGTTCTGAGACTGGAGTATGTTTATCAAATTTAAGGACCAGTCAAGGGGCTAACATAAGCAAACCAATATAAAGGAGATGAGATCAAAGAATGAGTTCGTTGTAGTACCTTAATGTAGGCCATTCTAAGTTCTTTGGTTTTTACTCTAAGTATGACAAGTCAGTGGGAGGTTTTGAGCGAGGATCACTCTGCTGCTGTGTGAAGAAGTAAATAAGACTTTAGAAGGTATTACTGGAAGAAGGAAAGCATGTTAAGAGGCTACTGAAATAGAAACAAAAAAATGACTGTAGTAGGAGACAAAGGTACTGAGATGGGGTCAGATTCTAGATCAAGATCTTGAAAGTCCACAAGATTTATTGGTAGATTGATTGGATCTGAGATGTGAAGAAGAGGATGACACATATAAGGGGTGATACTGAGCAGGTAAATAGGAGACCAGAGCTCAGGCTGGGTAAATATGAGACCAGACCTGGGCTAAGTACACCAATTTTGGAGTCTTTGGCATGTAAAGTTATTTAAAACACAAGACTGAATGAGATCATCTAGGGAAAGAGGTCTGATATCTAAGCCCTTAGGCATTCCATTAGTTAGAGGTCAGGAACATGAGAAGAAACCAGAAAAGGATATGTAAGAGGGAACAGTTACTTACAGCCAACTATGGGGGCGGGGGGGAGAGAGGTTGTAAAGGAGAATGGAGAAAAAGAAGGATGCTGCAATCCAAAGGAAAAATTATTTTCAAGGAAGAGGAAATGAACAACTCTGATAAATGCTGCCAACAGATCACATAAATTAAAATCTAAAAACTGACCACTGGATTAAGCAATATGAAATTCACTGGTGATCCTGACAAGAGAGGATTTAGAGAAGAATGGGAAAATTGGAGGAAGCAAATATGGACAACTCTAGAGAAATCTTCCTGTAACGAAAAGAAAACATAAAATAAAATAAGCAGATGAGGGATGTACAATCAAAAGATGAATTTTTAAATGAGAGGTGACATTACAATCAGTCTATTGGCTGATGAGAATGATTCAGAGAAACAGGAAACTTAATCCAGGACAAAGAGGAGACTTGATGGAACAATATTCCTGAATAAACAAAAATTGCTTGGATTTAGTATACAAGGGGAGGTTTTGCTCTTAGCCTGGAGCTAGATAATCCACTCATAATAATAATCAATATGAAGAAGAGCCAGAATGGTGGGTAAACAGGTGTGGGAGCCAGTCTCAAGATGGCCCCAAGTGAATCTTGCCTCCTGTTATTTATTCACACTCTTGTGTAGTACTCTTCCACACTATCTATCATAGGGTTAGTCTATGTGACTAAGCAAATACAGAAGTAATAGTATGTAACTTCTGAAAATGGCACTTCATCTTAGGTGGACGGTCTCTCTTGAATCACTCACTCTAAGGGAAGCCAGCTGCCATGACATGAGCAGCTCCATAGAAAGATCCAGAGTGAAGAACTGATTCCCTTGCTAAAAGTCAAGTGAGAAAGCTTAGAGAGACACTGATCATCCAACAAAAGTCAAGTCTTGAGAGACTGCCAATCCATCCAAAAGCTACACTACAACCTCCTAATATACCCTGAGCCAGAATAACCCAGCTAAGCCAGTCCTACATCCAAAGCTATGACAAACTGTGAAATAAACATTTAAATTATTTCAATTATTACCCTTTAAATTACTAAAGGGTATAGAAATGAACAAAACTAACTCTACGTTATCATTCTTAACCAATACACACTTACCCTGAATGAACCACTTTAATACATTAGCTGAAATCTTAGTTATGTGTATCAGCCCATTTTAGCCTCCTACCATAGTAAAAAAAAAAAAAAGAAAAGAAAAAAAAAGTCGGTTTTACATAGCTCAAAATCTATGAACCTGAAAAAAAAAAAGACACAATCTTGACCCTTATTACAAAGACCTTTCATCTTACCTCAGGCGTGCACTGAAACTTCTAAGAACTTGAGCTACTGCAGGGAGGAGGTCACATCCTTGAGGCAACCAGAAGGGAAGATTAGAGTTACTTCCATGTTACAGGAATATTTTAGGTCCCGCTGCCTATCTGATACTGCCATCTGGATGTTTATGAAGCATCTCACACTGAACCAGAAAAGAAAACTGGATTCCTTTCCCCCACACCTGTTCCTCCCATCTACCCTCTCTCAGTAAAGAAAACACTGCGACTGCCAACTGCCCAAATCCTGAGCCTGGAAACTACCCTGGGTCCCGGCTGTCCAAGGGCCTTCATTAGTGTGGAAGGGTCTCAGGTAGAAGTCCAGGCAGAGAGAGAGACAGCAAACAAGGAAAATAAGGCGCTGCGGTAGGCATGAGAGCAGTATGGACTTTAAAATGCTGGACCCCCCCTGGGCCACAGACGTCCAGAACCGGGAGAGAACCTGCTTGCGAGGTTGAAACGCGTTAAGTTCCACAAGAGACCCCAGCGGGGCGGGCGAGAAGTGGGCCGCGGTAGGGAGGCTGTCAGGAACCAGGGTAGGCCCCTTCTTCAGGAGGCGTAGGTTGGGCCCAGGCCTGGGGTTGAGGGCGCCCCGCCAGGGGGGGGTGGGGGGGGTGGGAGAGGAGAGGCTTCCTGAAAGGCGCCCACCAAGATTAGGGAAGAGGGTGAGTGCAAAAGGGGTTCGCAGGACCAGCTGGGGGCCGCTTACCCGACACTCCCTTCAGAGGCCACGGCGCAGGGACAGGCCTCTCAGGCAGGGCAAGACCGGGAGCTGAGTGGCCCGCGAGACTGGGGCCGCGGAATCCCTCCCATCTCCCTTCTAGGAACGCTAGAGCCGCGCCACGCCCTCGTCCTTACCAGCCCCGGCTGCGGCGGTCCGGAGCAGCCAGAGGCGCACCGCCCTGAGGTACTCCCCAGGCGAAGCCCGAGGGAACGACGCCTCCTCAGGCCCCAGGCGCCGCCGCCGCTGCCGCCGCCGCCGCCGCCGCCCTTCCACACGCGCGCCCGCTGCGATCTGTGATTGGCCGCCAGGTGCGGGGCCGAGGCCGGCGCAGCTCTGGGTGCTGCGATCTGATTGGCGGCGAGGCCGGGTCCGGCGCCTGCGCGCGCTGTGGAGCCTCTGGTGGTGATCCCTGGGCGCGAGGTTAGGGTGAGTGGATGAGTGCCGCAATAATCACCCTGAGGCCCTGGAAATGTCTTGGGAAGTCAAGGTTAAGGAGCAGGCCAGGGTTCAAGATCAAGGGCGGGCTCCCAATCCGTCAGGGGATACTTTCGTCAACCTGGACTTTAGCTCTCATAATCCTCTCAGGTGTGGTACCTTTTTCATATAAGCACCAGCCCCCAGCCCGTGTTTAAAGGACCTTGACCACACAACTGGTTTTTGATGCTCACACTCCTGAGGTTGCATATAGGGCCAATCCAGTCCAGGCTGGCACCTAATTTTGTATAGTTTGCAGCGACCTAAGAATGAACTTAACATTTATTAATGGCTTGAAAAAAGCACAAAGAGAATATTACTTTGTGACATCTGAAAAATTATATAAAATTCAAATTTCAGTGTCCATAAATAAAGTTTTATTGGATCACAGACATACCATTCCTTTAGGTATTGTCTATGGCTGCTTTCCTGTTAAAATAGCAGTTGATTAGTTTCCAGAAATCATATTCAAAAGTCTAAAATATTTACTGTCTGGCCCTTTATAGAATTGTCTTAAATTGTCCATTTCTGCCAGAAAGTCTATCTAGGTTAGTAATCTCTTGAAAGGAAAAAGAAAGACAGCTTTTGGTTTTCTTAATTAACAATGCTATATTCATCTCTAGCTCCTTTATATTTTCCACTCATTGTTTCCTTTCTTATTATCTTGAAAGGTTCTGTTGTTCCTCTTACAATATTCTTAAATGTTTAATTGTATTGTAGTTGACATACAATATTATATTAGTTTCAAGTGTACAATGTAATGATTTTCCAATTCTATACATTATGCGGTGCTCACCATGATAAGTGTAGTTAGCATCTGTTAGAGCTAACACCATGGCTAATGATGAACTATTGTATATGATTCTGAGAACAAGACAAGGACTTCCATTGCAACCACTTCAACAAAACACCGGAATAGCCAAGACAACTTTTTTTTCTTAAATAGTTTATTGTCAAGTTGGTTTCCATATAACACCCAGTGCTCATCCGAACAAGTGCCCTCCCCCATGCCCATCACTTCCCTTCCCCTCCCCCCCACCCCTATCAGCCCTCAGTTTGTTCTCAACATTCAAGAGTCTCTCATGGTTTGCCTCCCTCCCTCTCCCCAACGATTTTTCCCCTTTTTCTCCCCCATGGTCCTCCATTAAGTTCCTCCTAATCCTCCTATATGTGCAAACATATGGTATCTGTCCTTCTCTGCCTGACATTTCACTCAGCATAACTCTCTCAAGTTCTATCCATGTTGCTACACATGGCCAGATTTCATTCTTTCTCATTGTCATGTAGTATTCCATTGTATAAATATACCACATCTTCTTGATCCATTCATACATTGATAGACACTTAGGTTCTTTCCATGTTTTGGCTATTGTTGAGAGTGCTGCTATGAACATTGGGGTCCATATGCCCCTATGCATCAGCTCCTGTATCCCATGGGTAAATTCCTAGCAGTGCTACTGCTGGGTCATAGGGGAGTTCTACTGTTAATTTTTTTTTAATTTTTTTTTTTATTTATTTCTAGGAGAGAGAGAGAGAGAGACAGCATGAGCAGGGGAGGGTCAGAGAGAGAGGGAGTCACAGATTGAAACAGACTCCAGGCTCTGAGCCGGCAGTCAGCACAGAGCCCGATGCGGGGCTCGAACCCACGAACCGCGAGATCATGACCTAAGCGAAAGTCGGACACTTAACCGACTAAGCCACCCAGGCGCCCCAACTACTGTTAATTTTTTGAGGAACCTCCACACTGTTTTCCAGAGGAACTGCACCAGTTTACATTCCCACCAACAGTGTAGGAGGGTGCTCCTTTCTCCACATCCTCACCAGCATCTAGAATCCTCTGATTTTCTCATTTTAGCTACTCTGACCAGCATGAGGTGGTATCTCAGTGTGGTTTTGATTTGTATTTCCCTGATGATGAGGGAGGCTGAGCATCATTTCATGTGTCTGTTGGCCATCTGGATGTCTTCTTTGGAGAAGTGTCTGTTCATGTCTTCTGCCCAGTTCTTCACTGGATTGTTTGTTTTTTGGGTGTGGAGTTGGGTGAGTTCCTTATAGATTTTGGATACTAGCCCTTTATCTGATATGTCATTTGCAACTATCTTTTTCCATTCTGTCGATTGCCTATTAGTTTTGTGGATTGTTTCCTTTGCCATTCAGAAGCATTTAATCTTGATGAGGTCCCAATAGTTCATTTTCGCTCTTGATTCCCTTGCCTTTGGGGATGTGTCAAGTAAGAAATTGCTGCAGTTGAGGTCAAGGAGGTTGTTTCCTGCTTCCTCTAGGGTTTTGATGGTTTCCTGTCTCACATTCAGGTCCTTTATCCATTTTTAGTTTATTTTTGTGTATGGTGTGAGAAAATGATCTAGTTTCATTATTCTGCATGTTGTTGTCCAGTTCTCCCAGCACCATCTGTTAAAGAGGCTGTCTTTTTTCCATTGGAAACTCTTTCTTCCTTTGTCAAAGATTAGTTGGCCATACATTTGTGGGTCCAATTCTGAGTTCTCTATTCTATTCCATTGGTCTATGTGTCTGTTTTTGTACCAATACCATACTGAATCAAGACAACTTTAAACATCAACACTGGAGAACTTAAACTCTCAGATATCTGTATTATTCATGGTTCTCCAGAAAGAAAGAACCAATAAGATAAAAAGAGATATATAGGTTTTCTGCAATTATGAAGACAGAGAAGATCCACCATATGCTATCTGTAAGCTAGAGACGCAAGAAAGCTACTGGCATAAATCAGTCAGAGTCTGAAGGCCCAAGAACGAGCTGCTCTGATATCCAAAGGCAGAAGAGATGGATGTCCCATCTCAAGAAAAGAGAGGGAGAGATTTCTCTTCTTTTACTTGTGTTCCTTAGGGGTCTTAATGCATTGGATTGGATAATGCTCATCCACATTGCTAAGGGCTTATCTTACTTACTCAGTCTGCTGATTCAAATGCTAATCTCTTCCAAAAACACCCTCACAGACACAGCAGAAATAATGTGTTACTAGTTATCTAAGCATCCCTTAGCCCAGTCAAGTTGACACATAAAATTGACCATCACATAAACTTAAGCAGAAATACAGTATTTGAAATAGTATGGCATTACCACAAGATTAGAGAACCAAAGAAATGGAATGGAATGGAGTCCAGAAATACATATACAGTCACCTACCAGATTTACACAAAGGTTCCTCTGCAATACATTGAGAAAAGAGTGGTCTTAGTGCTGATTTGAATAAGCACATGAAAAAATAAACCTGGATATCCTGACTTACCACACCATAAACAAAAAAATAATAATAAATTTGAGATGGATCACAGACCTAAAGGCTAAACAGTAAAGCTTCTAAAAGAAAGCAGGAGGAATATATTTATCTCCTTGGTAGACAATAATTTCTTAAATATGATGCACCATGAAGTACCAACCCTAATGTACGTATATACACCCATGAAATCACCATTCAGGTCAAACTATAGGACATTTCCAGCACTCCTGCAGTTCCTTCATGCCCTTCCCAATTGACAGTCTAGTTTAAAAAAGAAAAAGGAAAAAAAGAAAGAAAGCAAGACTTGAGTAGATACTTAATAAAAGAGGATTGTATTCAAGTGGCCAATAATCGTATGAAAAAAATATTCTCCAGATCATTACTCATTAGGGAAATGTAGATAAGAACAATAATGTGGGACCATTACAACTCCAAGAGAATGGCACGAATGGAAAGGATTGACAGTATGGAAGTATTGTATCTGTAGAATTCTTAATGTTGGTGGAAATGTAAATTATTTCAATCACTCCGAAAAAGTATTTGGCAGAATCTGCACTAAAAATCTAAATCGAGTAGTTCCAGCACATTTCATAAGTATACATATATTCTAGAGGAATGACTAGATAAATCGACCAAAAAGCACCACAATCTTATGGCAGTTTTATTCCAAATAGCAAAAGAATCAGCCTCAAAGTTCATCAGGAGTAAAATGGACACATAAAACTCTACTATATTCATTCAGTGGGATTCTATCCAGCAATAAAAAAGAATGTGCTATGGCTGCATACAGCAAGAATGCATCCCACTTAAAGGAAGACAAAGACAAAATATTCTGTGATCCCATTTACTCAAAGCTTAAAAAAAGAATCTATGGTGTTAGAAGACAAAATAATGGTTACTTTGTAGAGAAAGGTTGACTGGGAAGGAGCATAAAGAACCCTTCTGAGCTTCTTCTTGATAATAGGGAGCTAAAGAATTGTCACTGTAGGGTCACCTGGGAGGCTCAGTCGGTTAAGCGTCCAACTTCGGCTCAGGTCATGATCTCACGGGTTCGTGGGTTCAAGCCCTATGTCGGGCTCTGTGCTGACAGCTAGCTCAGAGCCTGGAGCCTTTTTCAAATTCTGTACCTCCCTCTCTCTCTGACCCTCCCCTGTTCACGCTGTGTGTGTCTCTCACTTTCTCTCTCAGAAATAAATAAATACATTAAAAACATTTAAAAAAAGAATTGTCATTGTAAAACCTGACTAGAATTCCTGGAGGTGGGTAGAACATAATTTTAGCTATAATGCTACCTGTGGTAATGTCTGGAATACCTAGAATTCATGGCAATCCTCTTTTTAGATTTTATGGGTGACAGCCAGGGGTTAGTGTTGCTCACAATAATGGATGCTGCACTTCTTGATCCTGGTTGAACTTAAGTGTGAGTCAGAACCTCTGTTTCAGGAGGCAACCCTTACAGTAGCGTTGGTTTTTTAAAAGCTTGATGATTCTTGGTTTGATGC